CCATTCCTATGATTATTTTTAATAAAAGTACGACGTTCAAATAAGTGAACACCATGCTACTATCAAGTCTTTTGAGCAATTCTTAAAGTCGAAGTCGACTACGATACTTCCTTCTAAGGATATGTCAAAATCCAAGTAATATCCAAGTCATATATTTAGCAGCAATAGAATACAATGAATATAGAGTTACGGGGTTCCTATTTTGCTTATTTCCAAATCTAATTTTTAGACAAAAATATCTACATTGCTGGCTCTGTTACATGTATTACATCTAGTTTTCGACTGGAAAAGATTACCTCTTGTTTTGCCAAACTTTTTTGTGCAATATCTATTGGACAGATGGAATGTGTGAATATCATGTTATGCGTCTGAATTTAGTACGTAAATACGAGGGCGAAAAGGTTAAATAAATAGATTTGTTAAACCAGTGGTTCCCAATCTTTTTTTGGCTCGTGGCCACTTTCGAATACTTTTAGCAGTCATGGCCTTCCCTGTTCATCACTACAAATAAAATTGACGTACTCATCTCTATTATGTATTCACCACATTTTATAGTATGTAAAAACGATTCAATGGATAGGAAGTCAAAGGTGTTTAATATAGCATTGATTGCAAAAGTTGAAATTTGCAGTGCACGGTAGTATTTATATGATTAATTTGATTTGTAGATTCCGGAATTATGAAACAATTCATGCACAAGAAAATGAAAACACCCCGTTACTGTAAAAAAACTTTTTAGAAAATGAAACAAAGGGAGAACGGGGTAAGTTCTTTTGAAAGGAAAAATATGCGAACGAAATCGCATCAAAATCAATTCAGCTCATAGTATTCTGGCCCCCTTGGGGGCTACGGGCTCCCGGTTGGGAACCACTATGGTAATTCAAGCTTGAAAACAGAAAGTGAACGTTGGATGATTAGACATGTACAACTTTATTTTGTGGATAGGTATAAAAGTGATAATTCGACATATTTGCTATATAATTTGCCGTGAAAATATTTTGAATAGCTTGGTAAATTGCAAACATAGAAATTTCTTATGCCATAGGCAGGCACTAGTTGAGTAAGAGAAATATCCCGAGTTCACAACACAACTGTGAATAGAAGAGTCGCTGGTCACCAATGCTACACTAAGGAAGTTAGAAATATTATACAAGTTTTAACTTGAGGCAGAAATGTCTATTGTTAGGACTTTAAGCAGTTCAAAGTAATTTACTATAATATTCAAGTGATTTAAAATAATATGTTTAAAATATTACTTTCGGAATTTTTAGCGCAAAGACATTTGTTTTGAATCACTTTTGTCCGGGGTGAAATTTCAAAAAAACATTCATGTTCAAATACAATTTTCGATAAAACTTCCCAGATCAACGTAATTGGCATCGCAGGGGTCGTTCATCGGCAATTATCTTCACAAACACTTCGGTATTTTGGAACAACATTACTATTAAATTCATTCACTGGCCTTATGTAGATCACGCCTTGCCGGTTGAACACCCTGAAGCAAAAACCAACTTCAAACGCAGGAAAGCGTATCACCGGTATCCGCGTTAACCGGATTTCTCCATATACACGGCGGTGGGTTGAAAATCGACTTTGACTCAAATATTTGGGATGCTATTATAACAAAGTACAATATGTATCATATTTTTGAAGGAATTACGCTTAGTTGGCGTAGCCGTATGCGTTTCATAAAATAGCGCTATGAAAACTTTCAGGAAAACGGCAAATGAGATACGGTGAAGATATCTCCGATTAATCATGGTGCGAAATTTAAGATCCGAAAGTCGGGCGACATCCATATCATCACTTTTCTTGTATGTTTGTAGAATATTCCAGAATCCAACGCACAATACCTGATACAATAATGGGCCAACAAGCCCAATGGTCATTAATATTTTAAGCTCATTTGCGTAAAAAACTGACATCAACAATTTTCTGTATTACCACAAATCACAAGTGATTCTAAAAACCTAGATATATATATATATATATTCATTTAAAAAAAAATTAAGTCGGCGTCTTGAAGGCGGTTCGAGAGTGCTTAACTTTTTCAATGGGTATAGTAAACAAAAAACTACTTGAGTACTGATAAAAATTAGATAAAGCCATAAAAAAGCCACCAAAGTACAAAAATAGATCGTAGGTGTATCACATTATAAACCTATGACCTTGCTCTACATTGTGCATTGAACCCTGATCTATGCAATTGATGTCAAATCACGAGTTTTCAAGGAATATTCATACATAACTAAAGAATTCAAAAAACGGCTGTACTGTATGAAATGCTGGCATTAACAGAAATTAATATTTATTGAAGTGCCGGAATTTCGACGACAAATATAAAATAACAAAAAAGCGCGGTCAAGGTGATAAAATTATACAACACTTTGTCAAAATAAGTCTCCTTTCAGACAAATATTTCCCAAAGGCCAATTTCTGATAAAAGGGATCGTTACATCAAAGTGCTTGAGGAGTCATTTTATACCAGACTAACTGAAAGGAGTATTTTTAATGAAATTAGCACGTGCTGAAATAGTAATAGTTGTCATAAAACGAACTAAAATAGATCAGACAACCCAATTAAGTTGGATAAATTTAGTTTGTCGTATTTGATCGTAGTTCTGCAATAACCTGCCCATAAGCTTATTTCAAGCAACATGTGATTTTCTATTTTAGGAATGATTTGCTAAATTTGAGTCTTGATTTAAGAATACATATAAAAAATAGATGACAATTACTTTGTATTGGAAAGTTCTGGAAAAAAATGCCTATTGCAAGTTGCAACCCTTAGAATTGCTTGAAATTAATAGGAAGTATTATAAAGGCATAAAGGGGTGCAAGGGGTAAAAAAGCTTTCTTTTAGTCACAGCGTACACAGCAATTTATTACGCCAAGAGGTGTTATGGGTATTCTTGAAACTGGACTCTAACCAGAAAGTTTAGCATGAGTAGTAGTACCCTATTAAATTGATAGTTCAGAAATACCGTTATTTTGAAAAAAAAACGGTGTTTTGAATACAGTCAAGCAGCCTGAAACTTGCTACAAATTCCCAGATCACTCAAGAAGATTTTGTTAACGGACCACTTGAATGTATCGACCAGTGTGTTGACAAAAAAGCTTAAGATGAGAGGGGAAGAATATCAAGTCTTTTAACATGGGTACACCTGTCGTGGGCATCCTGCCATATATTAAAAGTTTTGCATTTTTGGTGTCATTTTTCGTTTACCCCCAAATGGGGTTTTGAAAGACATTCATTCAAAAGGTGTTATCTGTTGTTTAATTTAAAAACATTTGTTATGGATAACACAAGAAATGCCATGACGACGAAATTTGCACAAAACTGAACGACCAATTTAAATAGAGAGATTGACTCTTTCTCTTTCTACCTTATTCAAATGATTCCAACTTTTCGAGAATGCTTAAAAATAAGCTAAATGAGCCAAACCCAATAAATAAAAAAATAACCGAAATTTATAGCCATTGATCGCTGAAGGTAACTGTCGATACTCGTCACTTCTAATAGGTATCGCTATATACAGCGTGAGAACTTGAAAGAAAATATAGTTGATGGCCAATGGCCATTTTGAACCGATAGACGCTACCTTACTGTCTTAAACCAACAACACTACATTGTTGAGTAAATCAGATTGGAAGCTAAGAACGATAATAAAATGATAAACAAACAAGTCTTTTTATGCGATTTTTCAATCGCCAAGGCAATCAACCACAAATTCGTAAAGTACTTGGATTTTAAGAAACGCCTGGATTATAGGTTTCGGCATCGTCCGTCTAATTGTATCACACTCTGGGTGGAATGAAATAAAAATGAAGTGAAAAGAATGACATACAACATAGTTCTACAGCCTACACAACAAACTTCGATGAATAAGATAGGAATAACTGCATGATGTACAAGATACATTTTATTGAAAACAAGATCTAATGCTGTTGTGGGTGGTATATACTCCAGACGAGACGATTAGTTCTCAAGGAATAAATCGATACGTTCATATAATCCATGACAAAATACAAACCTCAATGTCATTAATGACCTTTCTTAAACTGTGAAATATATGTTTTACTAAGTACAATTGCGTAATCGTAATTATATCGGCAATTAAACATCCGAATATCGTAGAAAACTGACATTTAGAGAAAAAATATGAAACCGTTAGGCCCTTTCAAGGATGTATATCAGAGACATAATTTTATAGGTGATCGGATAATTTGATTTTGATTAAGAAAAATGTATTATTGAGCAATGGTGGAAAATGTGAACAAAAAATCACAATCATAGAACAGATTGAAGTTTTCTGTGATTCATTCCATTTTTGTTACGATTTATTAAGAAATGAAAATGAAAAAACTCAAGAAATACATGATGTTGTCCACTATAAGAGAAATAATATAGACATAGTGAAAGTTTGTTTTTCAAGTCTGAGGAAAAGACTTTACTTGTTAAAAGCGCCATATACTTTTTTGTGCTTACCCACTTAATCTGTCTATTGAAAAATGAAGTTGAATAACCCATCTGGCATCTAGTCCAACGTTATGCCCAGCGTTTCATCAAACAATTGGCAGAGTGATAGACCATGTCAGCGCGCTTAGCATGAACAAATTTGAAACAATCTCAGCTAATAGCGTTCAGCGTTCTCAAATAGTCATAATCACTTCGATATCACGTGACATGACGCGTTTGTACGTAGATTACTCAGAATAGGAACCATCGTGTTTAGTGGGGAAAATGTTTGGAAACACATCCTGCGAGTGCATTAACCGTTTTTCACCTTTGGGCGGTTAACGAAACACGGCGTATATTAAATATTACAACGAAATAAGGTGGAAAAATTATTACTCAACGACATTGGATGAGGTGGAAATGACAAAAATCCTTGTTTTCAGCTTACAGTGTATTACCGATATATTTATGAACAAAAATACATCATCAACTGTAGTCCGATTTCATGCATTTAACACAACGGAATAGAAATAAAGTTTACCAGTTACTTCAAGCTTCACCCACGTTCCGTTGGTTGATTTTTCAAATCTGTCTTTGAGAAATAACACTTGACATTGGTACCATCCAGCATCCTCTAACGTGACGTTTTCGATTTTTAAAGATGCATTTGTCAGTTCATCTCCAGCTATAGTTACTCGATCTGTAAAAAAAATTCACAGAAAATGTCAACTTCGTAAAATGGCTTCTTCAACAATTTCTTACAATATGTTCCATTTTTGCCTCGTTAAATTTTCTGGCGATGGGTTGCTATATTGTATATTCGAATGATAGCACAAGCAAGTTGCGTAAAAAGTTTGTGGTAATGTTTTATGTGTGTAGGACATCCCATATATTTGCTGAGAGGCATAATTCATATTTGATAGATTTCAATTGGTAATGCGTTTTAGATATCAGGATTGTGCCTTACTGACGGACACGTACATCCTGATGCAGTAAAAGATTGCGAACTTGGGTTTTAATTAATTTTGAGAACGACTTTATAAACAGGGGGTGGTACTCTATTAAACTCTTTATAAATCAATTTATTTAACGCCACCTATCGGACAATTACGAAGTGATATAACACGAGTATTATATCTGACTCAATTACACGTGAACGTTGACATCTTCATATGATATATTTTGTGGTACCGTAAGTATGAAAGAAACGAACAAAATAATTGATTTGATGCAAAGCTGGAAAATATCGTAATGTAGTGCCATAATTAAATGCGATTAAAATGGACTTATGAAAGTTTGACATAATTAATATAAAATCTTTGAGGATATTTTTTTAACATGGATAAATGAAAGATGCATGAATTACGCCACGATAAAATGACGGTACTTGAAATACATACAACGAATACATTTGAATAAAATATACATGGAAGTCTGGTTTGAAACAGCAACTCGAAGATACATTCTTTGCTTTATCAAACTTGGACACGACCAGAAAAGACCACTTCCTTTGTTTCAAATAACTTGGGTGCAAAAATTTTCTGCCTGTATACTCCGACGTCCACAAACTTAGTTGATAGCCAATTTGTCTTTTACAGCAGAGAAGCATTGCCAACATTTAATATGACATAATTACGAACATAAAAACAACAGTTAAAGCCCCGAACAATCACGTCATGTACTCAAAGAATATTTTTAAATCAATATTCCTTTTCTTACAAATACAATGAATTTACAACATTTGTGTGTTATTTTTTTCTACTAAAAATGAGCACACATAAGTTATGCTTCTGGCAAAATAATATGTAAATGTATAAAATCTACCAATTGGTCATTTCAGTAATTTTTGTATCAAAAGTATACAACTACATTTCCAATCCAATGGTAAGAAAATAGCTAAATATAACCATTGGATAAATCAAACACAGACATGTATGATTAGATGAACATAATTTGACACGAAAATGAGCATATATACACGGTACAATTCATTAGTGTGCTGATGAAAATCTAATAATGTATAATATATTTTCGGTGCTCCCGAAGTATGCGAACCAAGATGGCGGACATCGGAACGTAACACGTAGGCGATAATTTTTTTCCAATTTACCTTATTTTAGTCCTATTATCAGTTCGAAGACTAGCCAAGAGCCTCCCGTAGTATTTATACCTAAAATTATGGCCTAACCCTAACCTAGTACACATATCACATTCCGATGTCCGCCATCTTGGTTCGCATACTTCGGGAGCCCCATATTTTCGATGTAAATAGTCTGAGATACATCGGAAAAACTGATGAAAGAGATGAAGCAATTACGTTTCTCACCTGATTTGAGCTGGAAATGCTCATATACCGATTGATAAAACGACTCCAGCGCTTGATTAAAAAAGTGAAAAATTTGCAATGAAAAATTTAACGTGAATCATAGTGACATGCATATAAGTGAGTGTTATGCTATTATTATAAAATATTCATTTAGTGGAAACACTGTTAGAAAACACGTAAAACTTTATTGAAGCAGGTCCACATGTTTGCTGTAACTTGTATACAAAGTTGCAGTTTCATCCGATTCCAACTACGGCTGCATTCATGAAACCGCGTGTGACTTAAAAGCTGTTTATTTGCTTTAGATAACAAATTTCAAACCCGTCTCCCGGATTTCAGAAGATTCCAATTACAAGAGGTTCAAAATTTAGATTTATTTTTCAACTTTGACTCAACAGCCACTGCTTTAACAGAGACAAAACAAAAAATAGTCAATGTAGTTTAATAGTTTGTATAGAGATTGGTGGTTACCTATTCTAGCAGTACGTTATCAAAAGCATTATGAAAAATCAAACAGTAAACAGACTTTGTGAATCAAATATACTATTAGATACAGAACATTAAGATTGGAACGAAATCATTCAAATGGCATCCTCCGTCGAATGCTATAAGACTGACAGACAGTTTATTTGATAAAGTGCAAATCATTGATGTATATGGGCTACTTTAAATGATTTCAAATGTTTCTAGTGTAACTGTAAAGAGCTGATAAAAGTGCCAAAATATGTGTCGAGTTTGTTATAAACAAGCAAAAAAAGACGCGGTGAAAGTGTTAAAAGCATAATATTGCAACTTCAAGAAAGAATAAAGATAATGTGGCAGATATTGTGGACTACTATATTGTGTAATGCTTTTATTGGAAGTGATAATTAACCGCGTAGTGCCAATATATCACAAACGAGTTATGTTGCTTCTGTATTTAGCAACAATATGGTCGAGGTCTACTTCATCTCCTACTGTGAAGCGGATGAGATTGTTTTCGTCCAAAAATTTAATCATCTTAACTCGGTTAGACCGTGAAGTTGTGAATAGAGTAATTGAAAATAAATGAATCTCGCCATATTCCAGGTTTAATCTTGTCGAGGAAATCCATTAGCCGAATCAACTTGACTAAAATAGATTGACTTAATTGAAAAATGATAAGATTGGCCAAACTGGGCGTAGACCATCACTGAATGCAAGCAACCCGTCCATTAAAAGTGGAAATAATTTCAAAAGAATCTGAGAAGAAAACTTTACTAATTACATTTGCATATGGTTATTCATATCCACTATATTTCAATCGTAATAACTTTAGTGTTTAAATCATACTGTACCCCTGTAATGAATGAAGCGAGTAGAAGCTATTCCTAAACCTTGACTCTCCTATTTCAAATAAAGAGTTGGCCACAGCGCTTGGGCCCAACAAAATCAAGTCTTTGTGAATCATCACAGATTTTGATTGGAATCTTTCAGAACAAATCCGGGATCTTTTGTACAAAGTCCCCGCCAAAATTTTTGCGGGAGGCTTGTATAACAGAGATCTGAAATCCGTTTCTTAATTCCGTCTTAAATCACTCTGAATTTACTGTTAATGTTAACAAACTATGTTATAACCAAACGTTCGACTTCTTACATGCCAAAGAAGTATATAGCTTACCTTCAAACTGGTCATTGATATGTGGAGGATGTTTTCCAACTTTAATAAAAACAGGAACTTTGTCGCGAAACCATTCAATAACGTAAGGAGGTGGTTGACCGTCTTCTCCAGACTGAGTAACTTCACAACCAAGAACGGCATCATCGCCTTTCCTTACAGTAACAACATCAAGTTCTGTGGAATGTGTGTTATTTATATGAGAGGGAAAATATACTGGAAGTTTTGCACAAACAATTGAATATAGCAATATAGCAGTTATATACTAATAGAATAAAGTAATGACTATTTATTTGGACGGGCCAAATGTTAAAATAAGTAAAATATAAAAATCAACAAAACTAGTCTTGAAGAATCGGCTCTTTTACGACTCGAGAATGAGATAATTTAAAAACAAAAATAAATATAAAAAAAGCAATGAAATAAGAGAAACTTGAACTAGTTGCAGAGAAAAACTTCTTTTTCAACAACCCCAATAATATAGCAAAACGACAAATATCACTTCGTGTCTTATGCGTGACATATTCGCCTTTCAGCTTTATAACTCGAAAGATGTTTGAAATGGACGCCGACAAGTATGAATATAGAATTTATGTCGTAATATTGGATTTTATTGTGTTTTCTCTTGTCAACATAACCCGAAAACAATATTCAAAATTTTCTTGGCATATTCCAGCACGCATACCGATAGCCTAATATCATTTTTGATTGGTATTCATCGTCGATGACAAACGCTATTATCGCGATGGATGATGAATCATAAGGAAAAGCCAAAGAAGCAACTGCAGTGTAGGCCTTTGACCTTTTATTTACAGCGACAGTTCAGTTCGTCACGCCTGCAGAGGCCCGGAGACATTTAAGCTTAAATAATATACAAACATGCCTGTGGCATTCGCGGACTCATTATGTCCTTTTGTTCTAAATCTCGGGGGATTTGGATACCGAGCGCCAAATTCAATTTCGTTCGTTCATGAGGTTCAAAAGTCGGGAATTTGCTACGAAAAGATGAGCCAGCACAACATGTGTAAATTAAATTAATAACCCTGACAAGATCCCAAATATGCAAATTTTACTAACTGACAGGTGTGAAAAATTAGTAGGTGATAATATTTTCAATTTTTGCTATAAGTGCAAAAACATTTCTAATCGTCGCTGGGTATTAATGTCGGAAAAAGGAAATTTGTACTATGCCAATATAAGCACTTGTCGTTGTCACAAATGTATGATATTGAACGGTGTCATAAATTTTGCAATAATTTTTATAAATGGTGAATATATATTACATAAAATGGCGGCTGAAATATTCGGAAGTTATTTGGTTATATAACTGACATGGGTCTGGTCAGCTATACTTACGAATCGAATATATACGAAATTCATCATATTCGACATAGTAAATTTTTTAATTTGGGAATAATTTAGAACATTTTTATCGAAAATATTTTCTCATAATGTATTCGGAATAGTGGAAGATTCGGTTTTGGCTATCCATGATCGAATGTAAATACTACTTCAGACAAGATATAACCTAGAAGGACTTACCGTACTTGATGGGTATTGATAACCAAAAAATTGAACTCTATTTCCCTCAATATCTACAACTTACTCATGATTCAACAATTTGGGTGCTAAAAGTTGAAGAAAATTATCATTTATATGGGTCAGTCTCTTTTCATTCGTAACAGTGAATGATCATTATTGAATATGACAAACATTTATGTTTAATTAGCGGTGAAGTGAAAATGAAGATAGAAAATTGAATAGATTACTAGCCATAATACTCTTGCTTGTGGTAACCATTAAAATTGTCAGATTTTGTGGAGTGTGATATCAATTGAATCCGCAAAATAATCAAATATAAACAAGTCTGTGTATATTAACAACGGCCATTTTGGTGTCGTAGTTCAAGTGGGTTCGCGCGTGTAAATATTATTTGGGTTAGCGTGAAGTGCAATTGGGCGGAAATGTTAACCTTACTCTGAACAACCGCAAATTTATTGCCCTAAAGCCTAAATCAAGGCCAAGCACTAAAATTCACAGTGTTTAAACAGATTTTTAAATGACTTGTAGGATATTGAAATATGCATGTATTATTACCGTAAGCCTTTAAAAGTTGGATTGTGAAAATACGGCATTTTCAAAACCTGAATACGCTAACAAATGCAAGTGCATTTCATCAAATGTTACTTCGCAAAATCGTTTCAGCATTTCAAAATAGCTAAAAATCTGAAGCATTCTGAAATGGGATGAAATAAACACAACAAAACTGCTTGAGCTATGAAGCATAGTAACAAGTAACTAGACAGCTATTTGTTAATTCCCCATGAGAGACTTGTCACAGCATGTTTCCAATTAGTTTATTCCAAATTCTAAGCTTTTAAGTTTAATTGAATGCTTCGGATATATTTCCATGTCAATGCGCAGAAATCATCGATCAATAAACAAACATCTGTGAGTTTTAAAATGATTGCAGATTCGCCACATTAAAACTATATGCCTCTATTTCAACGCCTATTAAACGTTGTGCAATTTGTGGAATACATTGGATAATAAGTTCCTGATTTCCGGAAGCGCCAATCCGTTAATATGATGCATTTGGTATTATTTCATACTTTAAGCCATTTTTAGTTTTCCGAATGAAGACGACGTAACAGGTATTTGGTCAAAAATTATTTGTGTAAACTCCGATCCATTCTATTTGGCGTTTGCCCAGTGACGATTATAGTTGATTCTTCTATCGTTTATAGACAATAAGTTAGCAAGAAAAGCAAAAGCACACAGCAAAAAAACTCGTTTGGAGTTCAAGTGCAGCCCACCGAAGCCAGATGACGTGTACAATATCATCCAAGCGATGACGAATAAAAAAAAATCTTTTTTTAGATTTGTACTCTAAGTCTATTCTATATTAGGTAAGTATGAGTAAAAAGTCCCTAATAGCTTTTCTAGACTTTGATTCGCTATTCAATAAATTGACGTTTATTTCAGGCAATTTTCTAATGGAATTTGATTTAAACAACCCAACAGAAAACGCGGGTCATGTAATTGATTACGAACTTTGATTCAAGTTCCAGAAATTATATTTTTAAGCATAAAAAAAGCGATGACGCAAAGCTACTTTTCTGACTACGAAAATTAAACGTAACAGCAATTCAATAAACATGAATCGTACAATCGATTTGGATGACTTCAAACATTGTGTACAATGAAAGTCATTTTGTCCGTGACAAACAAATAAGCCAATTACACTACAGGCAACAAACATCGGTTTTCCAACTGACATTGTAATTCTCAATGACTGAAACTAAGTGTTGTTTTTCAATATTGACGTACGCTAATTTAGAGTTAAAATCAGACTATTTTTCGCCGAGGAAAATTCATCTGGGGCTTCGACTAGTATTGGTGTAATACTTGAAGATACATTTCAATGGCTGTAACTCCAAGTAAGCAGACATGATAACAATCTGAATATATTTCTATAAAATTAGACGCAACATAATTTTGAAGAGAAAAAATGTATAAATCATATACTATAAAAGTATATGCACGTGATTCGCTTACCAGTGAAAACCAACTGTCCCAAAAATCTTCTAACATGAAAAAGAGAGCATTTGGCATTATGTTTCGTAGACAACGATAATAGAAAAATTGCAGCACTCCTTCAAACATCAGATATAGTGATAAATACTCGAGATCTGGTTCCGTGTTTGATACATATGGCCACCAATTAACGAAAAAGCAATTTTTAGTTAAGTCACACATATTTGTATATTTGTTTTCTTCATTTATCGACAATGAAATCATAAGAGTGAGAATAAAAAAATGTGATGTATATCAGGGAAAAATTTTAAAGGTCCAAAGAATTTAGCAGAAACTTTGGGATTTAAGTGAATTTAAATATCCTGATTTTTTGGACAACGTCACAAGTAATTTACATACGAAGAGCTTAGCGTCAAAATCTATATTGAAGAAAATACCAGACTAATAAAAAAAGGAAAAATACAATCTGGAATATTCATTTCGAATTCGTCCAGATATGGGCCATGGTAACTATGACAAAATACAGTGAAACCGAGATTCTAATCATGTAACCTTTGACGCCGTCACGTGACCTTGGTTACAATTAACTGAAAGAGTCAATGACAGTAATAAACATATCGGTGGATTTATTTGATTGAAATCAGATAAAAATTGATTTTGTTGGCCTCTTATTTAACTTAATCTAATTGAGTTCACTCGTGATTAGGATTTGAAGTTAAGAAAAAATAGATCCGACTAATTTTGAAATTAAGAAAAAGGAGTGGGAAAAGGAACTTTGCAATTAAAGCAGTGTCATGGTATGTGTAACGTTAACGTTGAAAAAATACAAGCAAAATTTGATTTAGGTGATTTGCATTTTATAATTTAAAACAGATGTTTCAATTGGTTTTTCCATGTCGATACAATAAGAAGTATTTACATGTGTACCTTTAGTCCTATCCCTATAAAAAAGTACCTGCCCCACCCAACCTAACTTTGATCCGATGTTGCAAGTGCATTCAAAACAAGGCTATATAAGCTAAAATTGCATACATCTTGGCGTTTAGCACATCCATACACATTTTCTAACACATCGAGTGCTCAATAAAGAAAATAGGCGTTGTGTGGGTAATATAAATTGAATTCTTACACATGTTTCAATCTGGAATTTCGATATACCAATGAATACATACTAGAATTTCGTTAATCGTTAGCTTGTAGATGGCACCAAACCTATTTATAATGCTTTGTTGAATACTATAGCCAATATATAACGATTATTGACGAACTCTGGGGTGAATCCTGCCCTTGAAAATTCAAATTGTGTGAGGCGATTTGGATATCAGCAACAAGATTTGGATATCTTACACCAATACAAATAGTTACATTCGGACTGGTTTGGCAACTCATTTTTCCGTGATTACGTTGTTCTATTTACGTATAAATCAGGAAATATATTTGTGGGAATTTTGAATCACTTAGCCCGATTTGGATATTTCTGCTTCGATCCAGCGTTTCACAATCTTCTCCTTTTAGGCAATCGTCTCCGCAATTAAGATAAGAAACTATTCCGCGCTCAACACAAATGCTTAGTTTCGATTTTTTGCTTGTCAAATTCTACACGGTGAACAACATGAAAATCAATAAACTACGACGTTGCA